TTTTTTAATATGAAGGGTAACAGTAACTTAGACAGAGTCTTGTTTTATGGTAAAGTAGTGAATTTCATGCGGAACTTGTAAGGTAACAACTGATAGCATCTTAGTTATTTAAACATTTAAACGCCTTTGAAAACTTTGGAAATCCCTAGGAGATCCATTGAAATCCGGAAATGCCTGATAAATCTATCTGGAAATCCCGGTAAATAAATAGGAATTCGGAAATCTCGTACGGTATTTTGGGTAGTGAAATGCTCCTCGACATACACATTATGCCATTATAATGCCAACTTCCCCTGTTGCACCAGAAAAAAAATAGTTATACCCTGACATTTTTGACTGAGTGTTTGCATGGCTCTGCTGTCAGTAAGCAGACCTATCATTGGTAAGTGCTTGCATCTTACAGTATTGTTTCTTTGATACTTGTATTGACAAACTCATGAGATAATTTAAGATTATCAGCTAATTTCAATTGCAATCCAGCTGCATCCATTCACCTCAAAGTAATAGGAATGGAACACCTACAAGTATAGAAAGTATTATCAAAGCTTTGTGTTCGCACACACACACAAACACTCACACACATACACACATACACACACACATACACACATACACACACACACACACACACACAACACACAACGCACACCACACACACACACACACACACACACACACACACACACACACACAACACATATATATATATATATATAATATATTAATATATAATATATATATATATATATATAATATAACACACACACACACAACACACACACACACACACACACACACACACACACACACACACACACACACACACACAGCACACACACACTCTATAGATGTGTGCATATATATATACAAAGGGGGTCCTCGGTTTACGACGTTCTCGACTTACGACGTTTCATAGATGCGGCAATAGAAATCTTACAGTTCGTCTTCCATGTGTTCCTTTAGCCCCAGTTATGTTTTCATGTACGTCATAGAAGCGCCTTGTTATGATTTAGATTATGACTTTAATATATGTAAACATACTGCATTAGCATATGTGTTTCTGATATTGTGTGTGTGTGTTGTGTGTGTGTGTGTTGTGTGTGTGTGTGTGTGTGTGTGTGTGTGTGTATAATATATATATAATATATATATATTATTATATAATATATATATATATATATGTATAGTATATATGTATATATATATATGTAATAATGTATATATTATGTATATATATATTTATATATATTTATATATATATTATGTATATGTATATGTATATATGTATAATATATATATATATATATATATATATATATATATATATATAATAATATATATATGTGTGTGTGTGTGTGTGTGTGTGTGTGTGTGTATGTATAATAATACATATATAATATTATATATATATATATATATATATTATATATATATATATACAACACATATTCACACGTGTGTACATACACATACATGCATAAATCAGACTAGGGACTAGCAACCATCAGACTAGCGAAGTGCAAAATATTTACTATTTTTACCTGTTATCATTATGCGTGTTGAAGGATGTACGAAATGCAGGTGCTTCATGTTCAACAAATTGTTAAGAAATAACGGTGAACTAACGTGACCCAAGTGAGGCTGAGATGTATTCGGATAGATTCCAAAATACACAGTAAACTCTTCTCAAAATATTTTGATTAAAAAAATTGCTATATACTAATACAGATGTAATTCAAAATTTCTGTGTCGTTGCACTTATAATGAAACGCACTTTCGTTACTGCAAACTCAACAGTAAAGAAGAAAACTGTCGAACGCCTTCGTGAAAGACATTCATTCTGGTACACAATCGCCATCAGGTTCCAATAACATGACGCTAATTCGGGGCGTCACAACGCCAAGTGTTCGAAACTAAGGTGTTTTGACCCTTTAGCGACCAAGTGTCCTTTACGGGCTCTAACCACTGTTCAAAATATTTTACAGTAACATCCAAAGATCTGATCTGATTTGATGTGATCTGACCTGATCTAATGTAAGCTGACCTGATCTGATGTAATCAGACCTCATCAGAGGCAATCTGACCTGAACTGATGGAAGCTTACCTGATCTGATGTGACCAGACCTTGCCTGATCTGATGTGACCAGACCTTGCCTGATCTGATGTGACCAGACCTTGCCTGATCTGATGTGACCAGACCTTGCCTGATCTGATGTGACAGACCTTGCCTGATCTGATGTGACCAGACCTTGCCTGATCTGATGTGACCAGACCTTGCCTGATCTGATGTGACCAGACCTTGCCTGATCTGATGTGACCAGACCTTGCCTGATCTGATGTGACCAGACCTTGCCTGATCTGATGTGACCAGACCTTGCCTGATCTGATGTGACCAGACCTTGCCTGATCTGATGCCTGGTCTGTCTATACACTGCACTGTTCAGAGCTCCTCACTAGTCGCGGAATATTAAGTAATCTAAGCAAGCTAGATGATTTGAAACCTGAATCCGGTTATCATGAATATGTAGTGACTGTCTAATAAGATCAACGAGTGCTTAGTGTCAATTGTGACTACTATAATTAGAAGAAATTGAAAGGGAATACATAACCTCCGAAATATCCCGTTGTAGCGAACATTACTTCCTAGTTCCGCTAGTTTCAGATTACATCAGATCAGGTCATATTTACATCAGATCAAGTTAAATCACATCAGGTTAGGTCACATTAAATACGGTCAGATCACTTCAGTTCAGATTATGTCAGATCACATCAGATCAGGTCAGATTAAATCAGATAAGGTCAGAATACATTAAATAAGGTCAGATTACATCAGATCAGGATACATCACACCAGATCAGGTCACATAAAAACGGCCAGATCACATCAGATCAGGCCAGATCACATCAGATAAGGTTAGCTTACATGAGAACAGGCCAGATGATATCAGATCAGGTCAGATCACATCACATCAGGTCAGATTACATCAAAGCAGGTCAGATCGCAAACAGATCAGGTCAAATCACATCAGATCATATCAGATTACATCAGAACAGATCAGATCACATCAGATAACTTCAGATCAGATCAGGTCAAGTTAGATCACATCAAATCATATCAGTACAGGTCAGATTACACCAATTCAGGACAGATCACATCAGATCAAATCAAATCACATCAGGTCAGGTTATATCAAATATGGTCAGATCACATCACATCAGGTCAGATCATATCACACCAGGTCAGATTACATCAGATTAGAATACATCACATAAGATCAGATCAAATCACACCAAGTCAGGTCACATAAAAAACGGCCATCAAATCAGGTCAGTTTATAGCATATAATGTCAGATCTCATCAGATCAGGTCAGATTACATCAGAACAAGTCAGATCGCATCAGATTAGGTCAAATAATTGGATCAGATTATATTACATCAGGTTAGGTAAAATTGCATAAAATCAGATCAAATCAAATCAGATTAGGTCATATTACATCAAATCAGGTCAGATGAAATCAAATAAGGTCATATTACATCAGAATACATCAGGTCAACTCAGATCACATTAGATCAGTTCATATATCAGATCAGGTCATCAAACCAAGTCATGTCATTACATAAGGTCAGTTCAGATCACATCACATCAGGTCAGGTCAGATCGCACCAGATCAGATCAAATTAAATCAGGTTAAATCACATCAGATCAAGTCAAACCATATCAGATCAAATTGTAGCGTTTGCTAATTAAAGTACGTACCCTGGCTCTTTAAAGAGGTGTAAATCTCACTGCCACCCGATTGATATGTTCAGGAACTATTTTTTTATGTAAGAGGGGATGTGGTGTCAAAAGAATTATGGAAAAGAGCGACAGTGGTGCATGTGCGTGTGTGTGTGTGTAGTTGTGCAAATGAGCCGAACGGAGGGTAAGGACCATTTCCATGATTTCCCCCCTAAGTGTGGTTAGGATCCCAAGGAGAGGCGTGTACAGTTGCTTCATCTATGCTCTAGGGCAGTGGTCCCCATACTACGGCCCGCCTCCACATTTGGTCCGGCCCCCTGAACAATACCAAAGAGCATTTTGATTTTTTTCATATATGTGTATTTGTATTTGATAATAAAATTGGACTTTTGCAATAAAATGTTCCTTAGTTATGAACTATTTTCATTATTAACTATTAGTTAGTAACTATTTTATACACGCATATAACGTGACATTCTGTTCCACCCTTCTGCAGTCTGTGCCCCTATCTGGCAACCCCCAGAAAAAAATCCTAAACCGCCCCTCTCAAAGAGAGAGCGGAATGATGGCGAAAAGATTGGGTAAAAGAAAAATTGATTGAGAATGCAGGGCATTTAACCTGCAATGGACAAACGATTATTTTTTGTTCAATGCAAAGAAAAGGCTGTCTGTCTCATCTGTCAAGAGGCGGTGGCGGTATTCAAAGAATACAATCTGCGGCGACACTATGAATCCCGTCACAAAGACAAGTATGATAGCTTGCAAGGCCAAATGCGAGCAGACAAACTCTCAAAGCTAAAAAGTGGACTGTTAGCTCAGCAGAATACATTTGTACGCCAATTTCAGCTGAACCAGTCATCTGTTCGGGCCAGCTTTCGGGTTGCTCAACTGATAGCAAGCAGCGGTAAACTTTTCACTGATGGAGAGTTTGTCAAGAAATGCATGAACGCTGTCACGGAGGAGGTGTGTCCCGAGAAGAAAGATGTCTTTAATGCCGTGAGTCTATCAGCGAGTACAATCACCAGACGCATTGAAGAAATCGGGGGTAATGTATATGCCCAGCTGCAGCAGAAGACGAAAGAATTTTATTAGTTTTTTTTATTAGCTCTGGATGAGAGCACAGACGTGCAGGACACCGCGCAGCTGCTCATTTTTATTCGTGGAATTAGTGCAAACTTTGAGATGTGCGAGGAGCTGGCAGCCCTCCAAAGTCTGAAAGGGACTACGATGGGGAGATATTTTCGGCAAAGTGCACCAAACCATGGAAGAGTTGGACCTGGACTGGTCAAAGCTGGCCAGCATCACAACTGACGGGGCTCCTAGTATGGTGGGCATGTCTCGGGGTCTAATAGGACGCATGAACCGGGAGATGGAAGAACGGGGTCTCATCGCCCCGCTACAAGTCCACTGCCTAATTCACCAGCAAGCACTGTGCTGCAAAGTGTTGACGTGGGATTCTGTCATGAAGGTTGTGGTGTCATGCATAAACTTCATCAGAGCAAAGGGACTTAAACACAGGCAGTTCCAAGAATTCCTGTCTGAACCGGAATCTGCGCACAGAGATGTGCTGTACTACACAGAGGTCCGATGGTTGAGCCGGGGCAGAGTTTTGAGGCGTTTTTACGAGCTGCTACTTGAAATTAACGCATTTCTTCATTCACAAAACAAAACGGTGCCAGAGCTGATTGACCCAGAATGGAAATGGCACCTCGCATTTTTAACAGACATGACAGAAATGCTGAACAGCTTTAACTTGCAACTACAAGGCCAGGGGAAACTCATTTGCGACATTTATTCCCACACAAAAGCATTTGAGGTGAAACTAGAGCTGCTTTTGGGACAAGTGAAAAAGTGCAGCTTCATCCATCTCCCTGCTACATAAAACCTCTCTGCAGAGAACCCAGCGGTCTCGTTTCCAGCTGAAAAGTGTGTGGAAGCACTGGAAATGCTGAAGGCGGAGTTCGGTGTGCGATTCCGTGAACTACATGTTTACAAAAGAAATCCATCTTTTCCAGAACCCATTTGTTGCTGACATTGATGAAGCCCAGCCTTCTTATCAGTTTGAGTTGGCCGAGTTACAGGGCTGTGATGTTCTGAAAGACGCATTCAAGCCCAACAGTCTCATTGACTTCTATGCCGCCCTCCCAAACGACACGTACCCTAACATCAGAAAACACGCAATGAAGATGTCAACACTTTTTGGCAGCACGTATATCTGCGAGCAAACCTTTTCACGCATGAAACTGCTGAAAACTCCAATGAGATCAAGACTGACAGATGAACATCTGCATCAGTGTTTGAGACTGGCAGTGACTAAAATGGAACCTGACATTCAACTTCTCACCAGCCAGATACAGGCCCACAGTTCACACTGATGAACATACAAAGGTAAGCTCACTTTTCTGACTTGAATGAGTCATTCTGAGTATAAACAAATATAATCATAATAAAATCTACTGGGATAAAATCCATCTCCACAACCATACCGGTAGTGGTACTGGTTGTGCTGTGTAGGTGCTGTATAACTTCGTTCAGTTTCTCAGCCTGCTTGCTTTGTGGTTTTCACAGGGAAGTTGATGAGAGATAGAGAGAGCTGCAAACAGCGATGTCTACAAGCCTACTGGAACTTACAAAAGGATTATAAGGAAGAAACACAAGAACTTTGAGAGACTGCTCATATGAGTCATTTAAGTAAGAGATTCTGCTCTGACAACTAAGCTGAACTTGGACCTGTTAAGACTGTGCACGGCACAACAGAAAGTTTATGTTCCATGGACTTTTTTTCTGTGAAGAACCCACAGAGTGTTATTTGGTTATTATTTATTTCATAAATAGTTATTTATTTCCTGGCTTTTTTTCTGTGAAAAACCCAGAGAGGGTTATTTGGTTATTATTTATTTCATAGATAGTGTTATTTATTTCCTGTTTTTTTTCTGTGAAGAACCCATTGGTTATTATTTATTTCATTAATAGTGTTATTATTTATTTTCTGACTTTTGTTCTGTGAAGAATCCAGAAAGGGTTATTTGATTGTGGCTTTCTGGAAAACGATAAATTTTTACATTTAGGCACTCCTGCAATCGCCACACCTTTTCTGTTACAAACTGACCCCGGCCCCTCATCAGAGAAGGGAAAAGTTATGTGGCCCTCACAGGAAAAAGTTTGGGGACCCCTGCTCTAGGGTTTTAGATTGTTTCAACTTTTAAGCATTGAAATGCATTAAGGTTGTGTGCAGGCTTCCTCTTATGAGAAACATGCCTCAAAAAACTATATTATAAAATTAGCTATTTATTTCATACACGAAACTCGGAACTCGAACTCGCGTGCGGGGCCGGGAACCTCGGACCGCGAAACAGTATTGGTTCTTTTTGTGTTTATTTTCAAAATCATTATTTTTTCTATATTCATTAAAATAATCCTTTTATTCTTTATAAAATAAAGAACAAAAGTACCAGGAATATAAGAAAGATTAAAAAGATAAATAAGAACCATGATGTAAAATGTATAATAAAAATGAAAGTTCATAAAATGTTCAATATACAATATACTGCAGACGTTTCAAAATAGAAATCATGAAAAAGTATTCAAAATTAATATAAATCATAAGATATGTTTCTTAATCATTCATTTTCTTTGTGGTCTTGTCGCGATCGGAACTTTTAAGCGAGTCACCCCTTACTTGCGCTGAGCGTCATTTCTTGGGCCAAGTAATGAGGAATGTTCCATATAGTACCTTTTATACAATTTGATTGTTTTATCTG